TATCTGTGCTTGGTTGCAGGCGAGGTTGTCCAAGCCCGAGAATGTCCATACCTTGCCGCGAAAACTAAGTACCAGCCGGTGTCCACAGAGTACACGGCACACCGATTTGTTGGACATTCGCAGCAATAAAAAAATTAAGCTTCAAGAGTGCCGGCATTTGTAAGCCCGATTTTATTGTTGACTACCGTTAGACGCGCAAAAATAAAAACACTACATCCCCCCCATCTCCGCACCAACACTATTTTCAAGGGAACCTCCTCCTCGCCGCTGATCTGCAACTAACTGCCCACCGGTCACCCCGCGAGTAGCCCCTCACCCCTTCGTGAGTGCTAATTATCTTGCAGCTGTCACGTTTTGGGGTCTCTGTTCTTACACCACAAAGAAAGGCGGGATCGTTCTTGTTCTTTACACCACGTCGGGCCTGAGCACGCACGTGTGTTGTAATTATTTATTTGTCGTCAATTTCTTTGATTTTGACTTTTTGTCAAGGCCGCATTTCTTAACTGCCAAGTTCCTAAGTGCGAGAGCCATCTTTATCTTCTGATGATCATGATGTAGTGCCGGAAGTAAAATAGACATGGGCCTACTCTATTTGATATATATATTGCTGCGTGGAAACACGCACGGCAACTATTGGGGGGCAAAGCAAAGACCGAGAAAAAGAGAGATAGAGTAGGCGATGAAATACTACCTACACACGCTGCCTCTCCTGTAAAAGTCAATATGACAGCACGTACGTACGTCTGTCTCCTTAAAAATATTTAACAATAGTGGTCGAATGTAGTATTATTACATAATAATAAAATCTCTGCTGAAAACAATTGCGCGCTCAGCATTGTTAAAAATTCTATACTTCGTATATTGCTGCTGTGGAACATAAAAAATTTACAAAAACTTACCATTGAACGATTCGTAATGGAGGACTTTACTCGGAGTTTCTGCTTTTAACGTGGGGGGGACCGCATACTATAAGTGTGCTCTCTTCGGCCGCGTGGGTGGTGTCGCCACCATTGTTTCCGCCCCTCCTACTATAAATGCATAGAATTTGGTCGTCCGGGACACGTGTCCTTTGACGAACGCAGCTTTAAACTTACCANCATACTCCGCACATATGCATACCAAACTGAGAATACGGAGATGTAGCATGGATGAAAGCATTTGTTGGATTTCACCTTTTACAAGCGCACATCAACGCAGTAGTATTTTAGCAAGCTTACGAACGCATGTAGGATACCATGAGGATTGTCATTGGTTTTATTTGAAATTGAAGAGGAGATATTTTTACGATGAAAGTGACAGTAGAAATAAGTCCTGCATATGTTTGTTTTTTTTTTGCCTTCCGACAATTGCAGATGTACCTCAGAAAACTTTCACTTAATGTCTCATGCTCTACATGAATATTAAACCAATACGAAGTACAACAACATATGTAGGACTTATTTCTACTGTCATTTACATCGTAAAAGTATCTCCTCTTCAACTTACCAATGACAATCCTGATGGTATCCTATATGCGTTCGTAAGCTTGCTAAAATACTACTGCGTTGATGTCCGCTTGTAAAAG